TTAAAGCTTGAACAATCGAAGCGTAAACTACTTGGGTGGTCCAAAAAAAGCACGATTGACCACTTCATAAAAGGGAACGGGAGGTTGGAGTAACCAGTAAGACTTGTAAAATGCCCTTAGTGTTTTCTGTACTAACCTCAGCGGACAGTGGTAAGAACGCAATGATGGCGAGAAGGTTCTGTTTGAACAGTTCTCGTCAGCAATGAATTGGAACGACGTAAGGTTTTCGATCGTCCCAACAAAACTCTAGTCGCTACTAAACAGCATCGAATGCGTGCGTTGACATAAACCCAAAAACCGAATGTTGTCGCCGTTCCCAGCTGTTTTGCAGGTGGTCCAAACCACGGCTGAACACACCCACCATTACCCTGGTGGAATGACGGCTTCGAATACTACAATTATCCCACCTACACCACTGTAATGATGCCTTTCAGGATTTGCTCATTTCTTGCATTTGCAAGCTTTTCTCGGAAAGAATAAAAGGGTAAAAAGCGGAGGTACTGTTAAATAAAATATATAAAAAACAATTAGACACCTTTGAATCTGAACGGTGAAAGATGAGGGATTACGGTATTCTAGAAAACTCGGCCATATTTGATTGTTTACTAAATGTTCTAAAGGTTCCAGCATCTAAATTCGGTACTGAACCATAGGGGTGAAGCTAGGGGCTTTCGGTATTACATTGTCCTTGCACCCAGGGGACTCTGGGTAGGATATCTTTACAGTTCAATACAAATGAGAGGAACCCAGAAGAAATAGGTCTCGAATGAGTACATGGTTAATAAAAACCTAGAGGAGTACCCTACGTAATGGAGATAATCGAAAGACTCTTAGAATCAGACTCTTCTCAGAAGAATTGCTCAATTCGCGAAAGTTGTCTTACCCAGAGGGTGCTCGGCCAGGGGCGGGATGACGGGCGGAAGATTTAGAGCAAACTGAGAATCAGTAACAATAGGCGGGCCATGTGCGATGTGGGTGGTAATTAAATCTGAAGTCTCTAGTTTTTCTCAGTCCTAATCCAACGCAAGCTAGTTCCAAGTAGCAAACTAAAGGAGACAATGTCCGAAATGTGGAACTCTAAATGAAAGTCGAAAATCAACCAGTTAGGAAGCCGGAAAATATTTACATTACTTGAGAACAACCAGACAACTCTGTTTGAAGAAGGACAAAGATAGGGTGATGCCAAACGGGGTCCAATTCCGCACGTACGGGAGGGAAGCCAAACTCTGAATCAGAGTCCGTTTTAGTTAGTCACAAAGTTCGTCATACCTTCAGAGGTCGTTAGTTGATAACAGACTCGTACGGAAAGATATAAGCTACAGTTTGAACATCGGCTAGACCTGGTAGAAGCTTATACAAGCCTTATAGGCCTTTGTACTCATTTGGAGCCACGTTCCTAATGGAGTCTGGCGTCTGGGCGAATCACAAACCCTAGAAATATGTAGTGAGTGTATGATTTGGTATTCTCCTAGTAAAACAACGAGAAGGATCAGTGGGAGGAATAACAAGTTGGAATCTTTGGGAGAGTATAACAAGTTGGAATGAATAACAGTTGTAAGTGACATTGTTCGGAGGCGAAGACAGCGTTCGTCAATGTGAGCGACATATGTTACTGCGTTGGCGAGAGTATGCAGTAAGTAAAAGAGAATTCTTAGAAATTTTAAGGACAGTGGGATTTATGAGATGAAAGGAGAGGACAGATTACATGGGTATTATGAAGCAAACATCGTCTGTTCAGACTGAAACAGCCGACATAAATAGGAAAATTGGAGAGACAACAATAGTGCTACTGGAGACTGCAAAGTTCGAGTTTAATAGTTCGCGATAGTCGTCTAATATATTCGATTTTCATAAGAAATTATAGGCGTATGGCTGACAGCTGACGATCAGGTTTCGCAATATCTGTTCCAGAAAGTATTACAAAAGTGTAAGAAACAAGTAGCAGTATTATCAAAGTGTAGGGAAGGAGTAGCAATTTCAAAAAAGTCGTGAGTTCAATCGAAGGGAAAAGATGGTGGTAGGTAAAACGGCAAATGCTACCATTTCACCCACGCATGATTCAATGCTCGAATCCAAGATCGATACTAACGCTGGACAGCCAAGTCTTCCAGAACTCCGGGGACGAGTGACTGGTACAAGGATCGGATGGGAGAATAAAGGTACTGATTTGCACATCCCAGGTCACAACCTGAGTCACATACGCAACTAAACCGCCACCACCATTCTAATCGCGGTTGAACGTCAGGGCGCATTTCAGGACTAAGATTGGTTCACTCCAAACGGCTTTGTCCTTTCAGAACATAATATTAATAA